TTGGGGAAGAGAGATGGGATGAGGGGGGGGGGACTTACCTGGGGAGTGGTCGCCGACGGGTGTTGAAGTAGCCATTAAGGCTGGGGGCTTTCGGAGATAAAGAAAGGAGAGAGAAAGAATCAACCAACGGAGCTACCGGAAACTTCAAAAATTCAACTTTCGTCATTTCAAGCCTAAATTAGCTGCGAACCTCCAAAACACAATCTGATCACGCCCCTAAGCCCGAAATCACCCAACGGAGCTAACTGTACCATAGAAATTCCATTCTGAGGCCATCTTCACACTGTTCCGACTACGTCCAACTTTCCAACACTTAAGCTCTCATTTAGGGACTAAGTGTCCCAAAACTTTCCGAAACTTAAAACCGAACATCCCGGCAAATTAAAATAGCAGAAATAAATATGGGGAAAGCAGTTAATAGGTGATCGGGGCATTAATTCTTAAGACGACCGGCCGGATCGTCACATCCTCCTACACTTAAACATTCGTTCATCCTCGAACGAGCATAGAGACATACCTGATGTAGTGAAAAGATGAGGGTAGCGGCTGCGCATATCTTGCTCGGTCTCCCAGGTTGCCTCCTCGACCGGCTGACCCGCCACTGAACCTTTACTGATGTAATATTCTTTGACCTCTGCTTTCTAACCTGCCTGCCCAATATTGCCACTAGCTCCACAACATAGGATAGATCCTTGTCCAATTGGACTGAACAGAAATCCAACACGCGCGATGGATCACCTTGATACCTTTAGAGCATCGAAACATGAAATACCGGATGAACTCCTGCCAAGCTGGGCGGTAAGGCAAGCTCATAAGCAACCTTCCCAACACGCCTCAATATCTCAAAAGGGCCAATAAATCTCAGACTCAACTTTCCCTTCTTCCCAAATCTCATAACGCCCTTCATAGGCAAAACCCGAAGCAGAACCCGCTCTCCAACCATATAGGAAATATCACGAACCTTCCAGCCCACATAACTCTTCTGTCTAGACTGGGCTGTACGGAGTCTATCCTGAATCACCTTAACCTTTTCCAAGGCATCCTGAACCAAGTCTGTGCCCAATAATCTAGCCTCACCCGGCTCAAACCAACCCACTGGGGAGCTACACCGCCTACCATATAAAGCCTCATTAGGTGCCATCTAAATGCTGGACTGATAGCTGTTGTTGTAGGAAAATTCCGCCAATGGCAAGAACTGATCACCAAGACCCTCCAAACTCAATCACACACGCACGAAGCATATCCTCAAGAATCTGAATAGTGCGCTCGGATTGTCTGTCCGTCTGAGGGTGAAATGTTGTACTCAACTCCCCCCGAGTACCCAACTCATGCTGAACGACCCTCCAAAATTGTGATGTGAACTGAGTAGCTCTATCTGAAATGATGGAAACTGGAATACCATGCAGATGAACAATCTCCCGGATATAGATCTTCGCCAACCACTCTGAAGAATAAGTAGTACACAAAGGAATAAAGTGAGCGGACTTGGTCAGCCGATCCACAATCACCCAAATAGCATCGAACTTTCTCAAAGTCCGTGGGAGCCCAACTACAAAGTCCACGGTGATCCGCTCCCACTTCCACTCCGGAATCTCTATCTGCTGAAGCAACCCACCCAGCCTCTGCTGCTCATAATTCACCTGCTGATAGTTAAGGCATTGAGCTATAAACCCAACTATATCTTTCTTCATCCGCCTCCACCAATAGTGCTGCCTCAAATTCCAATACATCTTCGCGGCACCCGGATGAATGAAATACCACGAGCTATGGGCCTCCTCCAAAATCAAATCCCGAAGCCCATCAACATTGGGTACACAAATCCGACCCTATATTCTCAATACACCATCATCATTAATAGTCACATCTCTGGAATCACCGTGCTAAACCTTGTCCTTGAGGACAAGCAAATGAGGGTCATCATACTGATGCTCCCTGATACGATCAAATAAGGAAGACCAAGAAACCACGAAAGCTAGAACCCGACTGGGCTCCGAAAGATCCAATCTCACAAATTGGCTGGCTAAGGCCTGAACATCCATCACCATAGGCCTCTCCGATCCTGGAAAATAAGCCAAGCTCCCCAAACTCTCTGCCCGACGACTCAAAGCATCGGCCACTACATTGGCCTTGCCCGAGTGGTACAAAATAGTGATATCATAGTCCTTCAACAACTCCAACCACCTACTCTAGCGCAAATTAAGATCCTTTTGCTTGAACAGGTGCTGCAAGCTCTGATGATTAGTATAAATCTCACAAGGAACACCGAATAAATAATGGCGCCAGATCTTCAGGGCATGAACAATGGCAGCTAACTTAAGGTCGTGGACAGGGTAATTCTTCTCATGCACCTTCAACTGTCTAGATGCGTAAGCAATCACCCTACCATCCTACATTAACACCGCTCTGAAGCCAATCCTCGAGGCATTATAATAGACCTTATAAGACCCCGAACCTGTAGGCAGTATCAAAATTAGGGCTGTAGTCAAACTTGTCTTGAGCTTCTGAAAGCTCGCCTCACACTCTTCCGTCCACTGGAACGGAGCACCCTTCTAGGTTAGTCTGGTCATAGGGGCTTCGATCGATGAAAACCCCTTGACAAAACGACGGTAGTAACCCGCCAAGCCAAGGAAACTGTGAATCCATGTAGCTGAGGATGGTCTGGGCCAACTCTGCATGGCCTCTAATTTCTTCGGATCCACCTGAATACCCTCACTCGACACCATGTGGCCTAAGAATGCCACGGAATCCAACCAAAACTCACATTTTGAGAACTTATCATATAACTTCTTTTCTCTCAAGATCTAAAGCACTGTCCTCAGCAGCTGGTCATGATCTTCCCGACTCCAAGAATACACTAGAATATCATTAATAAAGACAATGGCGAAGGAGTCAAGATACAGCCGGAACACACTGTGCATTAAATGCATAAAGCTGCTGGGGCATTGGTCAGCCCAAAAGACATAACAAGGAACTCGTAATGACCATACTGAGTCCTGAAAGTAGTCTTTGGGATATCTGGCTCCCGAATCTTCAAATGATGGTAACCTGAGTGCAAGTCAATCTTAGAAAATACCCGTGCGCCTTGAAGCTAGTCAAACAGATCATCAATACGAGGCAAAGGATAACGGTTCTTCACTCTAACCTTGTTCAACTGGCGATAATCAATACACATACACATAGAACCATCCTTTTTCTTCACAAACAAGACAGGAGCACCCTAAGGTGATACACTAGGCCGGATAAAACCCATATAAAGCAATTCCTGTAACTGATCCTTCAACTCCTTCAACTCAGGAGGAGCCATATGATATAGAGGAATAGAAATGGGCTGAGTGCCCGGCAATAGATCAATACCAAAATCAATATCTCTATCAGGTGGGATGCCCGGAAGGTCAGCTGGAAATACATCGGGAAAATCCTGTACTACTGGGGACTGAATCAACTGAAAGAGTATCAATACTGACATCTCTCACATAAGCTAAATATGCGTCACACCCCTTCTCAACCATTCGTTGAGCCTTAAGGAAAGAAATAACTCTATTGGGAGTATGATCTAAAGTACCCTTCCACTCAACACGCGGTACACCTGGCATAGCCAGCATCACGGTTTTGGTTACAATCAAGAATAGCATAATGGGGGACAACCAGTCCATGCCCAAGATAATATCAAAGTCTACCATGCTGAGCAACAATAAATCGGCTTTGGTCTCAAAACCACCAAGAGCAACCAAACACGACCGATAAATGCGGTCCACAGCAAGAGAATCTCCTACAGGAATAGAAACATAAACAAGGGAACTCAAAGAATCCCGAGGTACACCCAAATGTGGAGCAAAATAAAAAGACACATAAGAGTAAGTGGAGCCTGGATCGAATAGAACCGATGCATCTCCGTGACAAACCAGTATAATACCTGTGATGATAGAATTAGAGGCAACAACCTCGGTACGGGCAGGAAGGGCATATTATCTTGCCTGGCCTCCCCCTCTAGGGCAACCTCTACCTCCCCGATATCCACCTCCAAAATAAGGACCAGTGGGTCTCTCCGGTGTACGAGGTCTCCTTGCTTCCCCATACTCTCTCTCTTGACCTTGTCTGTCCTCTCTCTCTTAGACCCATCTGTCCTCTACTTGGCGAGAGGTCCTCACCACCCGCTGAACTGGGACCACATGTTGTGTCGCTATGACACCTGGAACCCGACCAATGAGAACTCGCTGCTCTAGAGTAGGGGTGGCAGAAGTCTGGGTCCCTTACCTGATCTGTGGAGTAGTTGGTACAACCTGAATCAACCTCGCCTGAACTAATGTACCAAACATGCTCAGGAACCGTGCTAATATCTCCTAAAGTGCTGGAGTAGTAGTAGCAGTAGGCGTATCTGGTGCATGGGCTCTGGCTGGAATTGCTAGTGGCTTCTCGGTGGCAGCCCGCGCGGGTGCTTTGGCTGCACCGCATACACGTCCTCGGCCTCTACCCCGACCCCAACCTCTGACGGCTCTCGTAGGGGGCGCGGGTGCCTGATCATATCTGGTAGCGCCTGTCCTCACCATCAGTGCGAGAATAGAATATAGAAGTTTAAAATTGTGATATCAAAAATCTCGCACGACAAAGAATTCAAATGAAGTGGAATTTTCCTAACGGTTACATAGCCTCTCGTAGATAAGTACAGATGTCTCTGTACCGATCAGTGAGACTCTAATAAACCGGCTTGTGATTCATGACTCTTATGAACCTAGAGCTCTGATACCAACTTGTCACGACCCCAGTTCGCCCTCCATGAACTGTCGTGACGACACCTAGTCTCTACGACTAGGTAAGCCTAACAATGCGGAAAATAAACAAAACTTGTTGAAGAAATAATTAAAAGCCAAAATAACCGAATGAAACAGTATTAAAAATGCCGCTCGGCATATACAATACAACTTCTAAAAAACTAATACGATTTCTCAGAACCCGGAATCTCATGAAACCACAAGCCTTTGAATATCTAACAGAGTCTAACTCCAGAATGTCTAACAAAGAAAAGAAATACAGAAGGGCTAATACTTAAAAACGAGAATAGAAAGGGACTCCTCGGTCTGCGAACGCGACAGATATACCTTGAAGTCTTTGGAATAATCACCTCGCCTCAAGGGTGATAGGACTGAGTTGAAGTACCTGGATCTGCATATGAAAAACATGCGCAGAAAGGGCATGAGTACACCACAGCGGTACTCAGTAAGTGCCAAGCCTAACCTCGGTTGGGTAGTGACGAGGAAGGTTAGGGCCCTACTGAGGTT